CCTGATAGTAGCCATCCTTCAGATCAAACGCGGAAAAGATAGTTGACTTTTCCATGGAATTCAACAAAACATCTTTCCGCGGGATCGGCGTTTGAGCCGGAATAGTGGCCGTGTTCAGCTTATTATAAGCATGAACCACGCGCCATCCACCTGTTGCTTTACGCACACAGAAGGTCGGGCTGCAGTGAGGCGACTTGATCTCACGTACATGTCCCGCCGTAGCTCGCTTGTCGAAGAACTCATCGATGTAATCGGCTTGTTCCATCGGCAACGGCCATTGCCTGGTCATACAATACTTGGTGCCAGGTTCCAGATCAATCTCGTGCCTGATGCCCCTATCGGCCGGTAGGCGGCTCGGCACTTCTGCTGGAACACATAACGATGTTTCCGCAGAACATCATAGAACGGGCTGTCCTTCAAGGCTTCCCAGCCTTGAGCAGCGAACCGTTTCTTTGTATCGGTATCCAAGACGCTCTCGTCCATCGTGGATGAAGAGCAACAGTCCACCACGTTCTCTTCTGGAACCGGTGCGACTATCTCGTGGATCTTTCCTTCCTTTAGTTCGGAAAGGAACAGATCCCACGTCATCTCCGAGAGATTTACTATCTCCTCTGCAGATGCCAAGACAAGTTGGAGCACCTCAACTGAGGATGCCTCCGGCATTTTGTCTTCGACGGCCTCAAACAACTCGTTCGTAGGTCCGTCCTCTTGGACCGAGACTGATCCAAGGATTCAATCTTTTTGGCGTGCCCTTGATCGTCTTAATACGTCTGGTGCTCGTTCTTCGAGTCACCACGACCTTTGACTTGAAAGAAAATGTCGTTGCTATTTCAGCTAATGCACTCCTTCCAACCGCACCAGGCTCTTGGCTCTGTGCCGGTTCTTGTGGCGCTTGACTTCCTGTCAGCCCACCATCAACTGCCACAGGCTCTCGGCTCTGTGCAGGACTATTGGACGCATGACTACCTGTCATCGCCCCATTCACTACACCAGTCTTTTCGACCTGGGTAGGAATATGTGTCACCTGGCTTTCCGCCAGTGCACTTCCAACTACACCACTCCTTTCGAGCTGGGTAGTTCATGGTGTCGATTGACATACCGTCATCGCACCTCAACTGTATTGGACACAGCATCAGCCACATAAGCCTCTCGCAAGAGCACATCCTTTCCGGTGTCTTGCGTAGAGCTAGCGACTGTGCGTGTACGCCAGTCTATCCATGGTTGGTGTTTAGCCAAACAAGGAATGCCTAGTATGAGGTCATACGGACTCTCCATACCTAGCACTGTGAACTTCTCTTTACAGGAGAAGTCATTGAAACTGAAGGCGAGTTCAACTTGAACTCCCTCCGATTTAACGAGCGCGCCGTTCGCTAAACGAACGATCGCCTCTTCTCGCTTGCCATCCTGGCAAAGCGACTCATATCTCGACGGTCTCTTTTTTAGAGCCGCGAGGTTCACAAAGTTTTGTGATGCACCCTAATCCATGAGAAGGGTCATCACTTGGTCATAGCCTCGTACTCGAGCGCTATAGACCAAAAGGGTTGAGGTCCAACCTTTCGGAACCTCAGGGACTATGCTACCCATTTGTTCGATCACTCTAAGCTTAGGGGTAGCTTCAGAGTCCGCGACAGTAGAGCATCCCGCCCCTACTGCGCTCCCACATTTCATGACTTATCAGTGGTTGAATATAAATCCGTGCGTCGTGCACCTTGGTTCTCTTCAACTCCCTTTAAAAAAGAGAGCCTTCCTACTGGGCGTCTTAGCATCAGCAGCAAGTTTGGCATAGCAGCTAGTCATCATATGGATGCGCTTGCCGCACTTGTAGCAGACCACGTCGGCATTGCCTAGCCCCATTGGAGTGGCATCCGAATTCTCTGCCGACGACTTATAGTAAGCTGTTGCCAAGGCACTGTTGTAGGATTGCTGCTCATTCAAGGCAATATCGAATGCCTCTTTCATCATTATTGACACCTTTATAAAAAGGGGCCTGACGCGATGGTCCGTGCCATAGGCCATTCACGAACGTTTGCACCTTAATGTGTTCCGGTATTGTACCCACTTTATTGGAAGCCGACAGCGAACGAACCTCCTGCACATACTCTTGCAGAGATCGTTTCGGTGCACCTGATGTAACATACTATTGTTAGGCGTCTGGTACATGGCGCGAATCTTTGACGTTAAGATCCCCGTGATGTAAACGCATCGGCTTTTGCCATCAGCGCAGAGTAAGACCACTCTGACACTTTGCCATGCAAATTTGACAAGGCATACGACACCATCCTGGTGTCGTCTTCGATGAGCTGCGCCATACCGCATTGCTCCACGGCTACAAGCCAGTAGACAATAGTATGTGGGGCAGTCCCATGAAACTTCGGAGGGTCCATCCAAATGGGCCTTGGCAAAATTAGACCGGGCAGAGATCGTCTCAATAGTTCTGTTAAGCGCCTCGTTGCGAGCTTGTCCACGAAAAGGCTCTCCTGATTCTTACTGATGGTCTCAGCCGCTGTTTGGCTGTTTGCCTCATAAGCGTATACTCTGTCCGAGCACAAACGGTTTGAATTGCTCCAACTAAGCAACATGTTGCTCAGGAGGACAATTCAAGAGGTTGTCCAGGGCTTGTTTACCAAGTCCCTGCGCCAAATGATCAGCCACCTCCCTATGATGTTGGGAGAGGTGAGAAAAATCACCCCAATCCAAGTTGAGGAACATCCGTATCCACACGCACGCTTAGAGAGACGGGTCTTGGGAAGGACTACTAGTGCTACCAAGTGTAGACGGGCACTTCGTAAAAAAGCTGCCACGTACCACGCGGGCACACCTTCAAGCAGCGCGAGGAAGCGGTTATACCGTCTTACCTCCGCGTGCGGTGGTGGTTGCGTTGGTCGGTCGCTTAAAGCGCCGAGCCATACTGTTGCCGACTGTTTAGAGCGATCCGCGCAACAGAACAAGCACCTCCCTGCGTCACGGAAGCTGTTTCTAGTCTTCTCGTGCGCAGTGAGCTGCATAAAGTAAATAAAGACAGACTCATATTGAATAGAAATTAACTACATATAAATCTAACTACTGATTGATCAAATGTAAAGATCGGATACGCGTCTATTTAGAAGCGTAATCCTACGTGCGAGCTTAAATATATTTAAGCTTGCTCAATGACGTCCGTCTGTGGCGTTGACACGACGCCTAGTCTTAACTGGCGTCATCCTTGTTGAATGTGAATCAATTCATGGATATCACATTCACGAGGGTGGGTCACATTGATGTGCCGCACCCAAGTGGAAGGTCTAAGGTACCACGTACCCAATTAGACCTGCCCGTTGAGTATTCGCTACTGAACGAACCGTGTTACTACAGTATTAGCCGTTACACGAAATGAGAACTGTTACATTTATGCATTAAAATTTTAATGAATGATCCTACTCTAAGTTCCCTACACCAGATTGATTACATTATAGTAATTATAGTATGCCATCATCTGTATCTGGATATGGAATTAGTGGATGTTGTGCTTGGTACTACTGTATTAGTTATCGAGCCGATACCGATAGTATAAGGTATTACTGATACCTTGAATATCACTCATCGATAATACTAGTTTTAGAAGGTTCGGTATTAAAAATACATTATATGCTATATAGAAACTTCAACCGTAATGTACTTTCGGTATGATTGTACAGCCGCCGTGTAACCCCTTTACACGCACTTCAGTATGTACCAATGTTACGATGAAGTAGGAGGAAGTATTCCATATGACGTTCTAAAAGGCTCTTAAAATAGCTACAGACACCAAGCAAAGCTTTCATTACCTTCAAATCGCCACTTTATTATTGTGAGTCAGCTCTCATGTGTAGCGCCAACAGTGAAAAATAGCCAAACACGTTTGCGACCCCGAAAAAATAACAAACTCTTTTTGCGACACCTTCGCCTTCTATCACTGCCCCTTAAGAGGCGCGACAACATATCCACCTTAGATGTTTGCCCCATTCATCGTGAACAATTCAACTAACTCCCTTCCTCTCCTTTCTCATCATATCCACTAGGTCGACTCATGGACATCGGCGAGCCTTCTTCATATCACTTAAACACTTAAACACACGCAATACCATCACTACGAGTAAATGTTGACAGCTCGACGCGAATTGCGATGGCTTAGTTTTTTGGAAATGCTTTTCTCTGATATGGTTAATTTGGGTAATGGTAGGGGATAGATCACCTGTTCATCGACGATATTGAAAACTTATCAAATGTGAAAAATAACGTTTGGTGTACGGTCCGGTTATAGTGGTCAAGCAGCCTACGATACGGCTTGGTGATTAATATCCGATGATAAAACTGCTTTTGATTTGTCAAAAAACTAGTAAAAGCTTTTATTTATTCGCTGGAAACCGGTTATAGTGCTACGACACCAATTAACCTCTCCAACAGCATAATTTTGAAACAGGGAGAAAAATTCGGGAGAACGTGAAAATCCGCGAGTCATCGCACAAAGGCCGCCCTGGTGTCACTAAGCCATAGCTGGTACGTCTTCTTGTCTTCTTATGCAGTCTATGTTGTTGCCCTGCATCTGCTCTCTCGAAATGCGTGCCGTGCGCTTTCTGAATCGCTTTGGGGGCTGCGCTACTGCTTCATCCACTTTAACGCACAATTTTGGCCGGTTCTCGTGCTCAAATTCAAGGGGGAGCACTTTTATTTAAAAGACCGTCGTTTTTCTGTCGACAAGGCTTTTTACCACGTGCAAAATGGTGCATTTTTGGCCATTTTGTACTTATTTCTCACCTTGACTTCGAGACACGTGACCGGGTCTCTATTAGGGCGCCTTGTGTACGCTAAACTGACATGAGAACATGTATATCTTGGTGTGACGGTTGCCTTTTGGATGCAGTAGTGCTGCAGTTAGCAGCATGTAGAACGCGGCATACTTATATGAGAGCTGAAAGAGTGATGGTCACTGATAAGTGATATGATTGTATAATTTAAATGTGAAATTGTAGTTAAAACCCGTAATGGCGTCGGACAGCGACGGCAGTAAAAGTAGCGTCGTCATCCTTAGGTGCATCCATGAGAAACTTGTAGAATACAAAACTTCGCTCTTGCGGTATGACACTCGTTTATTGGTAGTGCTATTTATTTACATGGTGGTGCTAACACAGTGTGCTTTATTCTGTAGGCAGCTGAAAGATGAGCAGAAATTTGCGCTAGCAATTAGCAAAGTGCTCACGCCCGAAGATGTGGAGGAGGACAGGAATTCTAGTGTAGCAGAGCAGGAGGTGGCACTTCCCGAGGGCGATAGGATTTGGCAAGAGGAGGAAGCTTATGCTGCTGTAGTTGAGACTGTAGCTGATGCTGTATCTGAAGTTGAAGTTGAGACGCTAAAGGCAGGTGATAGCGGATTTCCTTGCAGTGATGTTTCTGTCGTGGGTCCTGCTCTTGCAGATGTGCCAGAGAAGTCAATATTTGAAGAGACAAGATTAGATTTTGGTTTGAAGAAACGGCGGCTATCGGAGGTAGAGGTGAAAGGTTCGGCTGAAGCCGAAAATGAAGAAGCATCTGTGAAGAAGTTGAAGAGGAGCAAAGTAAAAAGCGAAAGAAAGTTTGACGATAGAAAGGAACACACTGGAGCAAAGGAAGAAAATCCGAAAATTGGACTGGATACTGCTGCGGACCAGGAACATCTGCCTAAAGGGACTCCGTATCATGTTTTACAAAAGACGTCGGTTCCTCCAAACAAATATTTATTGCAAAAGCGACGGGAGGAAGAGGCATCGGATCGCAAAGCTGCTCACGAACAGCAGCAGCCACTTTTGCTAGCTTCGCTAGAAAATAGCAAGAAAATTACATGTAGCAAACGGTCGGTGTCGACGCCGATAAGCTCTTCAGCATCTGTGGATCTGATAGATGCAAAGTTTGATCGAAGGCTGCGTGAACACGTGCATCTTCACCGGGAGGTAAATAAACGCAGCCATGCTGTTACAAGGAAACGGCAACTGCCGCGACTGCCAACACCAGCGCGTGGCAAGACTCACTGGGACTTCGTACTGGAGGAGATGAAGTGGATGGCGACAGATTTTGCTCAGGAACGTAATTGGAAACGGGTGCTCCAACATCGCTTGGCAGCCGATGTGATTGTTGCGCAAAATTCAGGAAATGTGCGTCAGGAATTAGAGAATTGTCAGATGGCCCGTGGTGTTGCTTTACAGATTTCGGCTTTTTGGCGAACGATGGAACGGATTGCAGCGAGATCACGAGTGCGATTTGAAGCCGCGGGTACTGACCGGTCAGATCATGGTGAGATTGATGATACAGCGTCAGGGGGCAATCCTGCACCTTCTGAAGACGGTAGCAAGCAGGGCAAAAGTGAGGACGTCGAGATGGGTGGCGCCGAAAACGATAATTTGGCATTGAAGTTCCATATTATTGGCCCCGCAGCTAGCAACGCGATGGACGCAAAACGTGATGTAAAAAAATTGTGGAAGCCAGAAGTGGTGCTAAATTCTGCAAAAGCTCATGTTACTTATATTGTGAGTGCAGGAAAGCGAGCGCGCAGCGCAATGACTTCTTTATCAACAAAAGACGCTGATGTGGAAAGGTCCACAGCGTGGTCGCTACGTGAGGCGGCCTTCCAGGGTTTGCTAGCGCGTTGTACTGCCTTGCATGCGGAGGGAAGGCCCACCATTTGCTTGGCCACCTTTCAAGTGCTGGCTTTGAGGTGGATGTTCGACTTGTACTCCAGTGGCCTCAACATGTTTTTAAATGACCAACTCGGAATGGGCAAGGCAGCCACGATCGTTGCTTTTCTTAGCTTGATCGAAATTGTGTCCTCTCAGAAGCAGCAACAAGAAGGTGGTGCATTATGCGCATCTATAGTAGAACGCGCGTATGGTGAACAATCGGAAGGCCCACATTTGATTGTTGTATCTGAGGAGGAGCTTCATAAGTGGCGGCATTATCTTCGCGTATGGCATCCAGACCGGCGTATTCAGCTTTATGACGGCGTAGGTAAGACATCGCATTATAAAGAACAGTTGCAGCAGGAGTGGAATGTTAAGCTTCGAGCCCAAGCGCATAAGGGTGAAGACGATTTCCTTGTAGCCCCGCCCAATAATAACGATGACGAAGGATTGGACGACGACGAACGTGCTGAACCTTTATATTGTGTACTATGCCCCGTGGGTGCATTCGCTGAAGATCGACAGGCTTTTGTGGCATTTACGTATTGGCAGATGGTCGTCGTGGAAAAGGAGCATGGTGGTCATTTTGATGACTCGACTTGCGTGTCCGCGCTGCAACAGCTTCGACAACAACAGCGGCGAGTCTTGTGCAACGGTCAATCGATTGAAAATTGGAAAAACACTGCTTTACGTTTACAGTACGCTGAATTTGTAGTGCGAGAAGCTTCTGCTCCTGATGGTAGCGATGCGCATGGAAGCTGCCATCGAGTGGAGACCTGGCCTGTGCAAGAACTACTAGTTGAAAGGTCATCTGTGGCGGAGGTGATGCAAATTTATGGCAAATCATCGAGTGTACGGGCTGCTTTGTGGAAGGCATCTTCCCAGCAAGAGGACTTGCCAAAGTATATGAATGCGTTGCTACTAACATTATCCTGTCTTAGCTTGCGGCGGGTCCGCAGCGAAGTTGAGACAGAATTACGCAAAATTGAGGAAATAAGCTTGAGCTGCCAACCCAGTCTGTCACAAAGTACACAGTATCGAAACGCACTAAGTGGATTTGCGGCAACGCTAGATCCTGCCAGTGGCCGCGAAGAGCGACTGAGTGTCTGGCTGCAACTTCTGCTGCGTCTTCGTCAGATCTGCAATTGCGTTGATCTCGTGAACGATATGGATAAGTTAGGGCACGCTGATTTGCGATTGCTAACTAGTTGTTCCGCGAAATTAGAGGCGTTGGAACCACTGCTACGTCGGCTAGTGTTTCAGGAAGGCAAGAAGGTGGTGATATACTGCCAGTTCCACGGTATGTTTCCTGTCTTAGAGCTATTTCTTTCTCTGTTAGATGTTAGCTACGTGCGCATCACTGGCTCGATCGCCATGCAGCGTCGTGCGCTTTGCCATTTTGCGGACCGCATTGTGGTTCGTGTGGCACTCGCATCTACTCGGCTGTCCACTTCAGATGGAGGCCAGGCAGTGTCAGTATTTGGTAGTGATGCCATCGTGGTCGTTGACAGTGACTGGAATGCTACGTGTGACGCGAAGCTTCGGGCAAGTTGGGCTAAAATGGCGGTTTGCGGTACAGATACACTGGCAGTCTACCGACTGCATTGTGAAAATACTGTCGAGGCATCATTACTACGCGTGGGGGCTTCGCTTACTGAGAAAGTGTTTGGCGAGATAACTCCACAAGAACTTCTTGCTGTGCCGTCTGACATGACATTGTCGATTAAAAAACCCAGTTGGTGGTTTCCAACCGTTACTAGCAGCGGTGGAAACGGCTTGACTGTCACCGGACCAATGGTGAAACTTGCGAGTCTGACTCAGCAAGTGGAACAAAATGAGAAGTACTGCGGAAGTCCTAGTGAACTTGAAGCGCCACTTGTTGTGTACAATGTGGATTTGGATGCAGAGGAACATCTTTTGCTGGCCAATACAGACGAGCTGACACCTGTCGAATGGTACGCTGTTAACTTCGTCCACGACATTATTGACAGAAAACAACAGCAGGGAAGTGAAGTAAAAACAATTGAAAGCGAATTTGGAAACGTTGAAGACGAAGACGTCGCCTCTAGCGATGAAAAAGACGCGTTTTTTTACTCAGAACAGCGCTCATTCGAAAAATTGGCTGCTTTAGAAGTAAATCGTCACTGGCAAGAAGGCGATGCGGCATCGCAGCTTTTTTTCAAAGTCGAATTCCTCCACAACGGTGTGGTGTGTGGAAGCGCGCTCGAAAGCATTTTCATGCAAATGCGTACGCAAGGCATGGAAACGCATTTTGAGGTATACAAGCCTCCACTTTTGCGGTTAATAGACGATGCGAAATCGCAGGACGGGGCTTTTCCCCTAAGGACTGGTGTGAGCATAGACACCCAGATGGAGTTCCGGATATCATATCGTGTGCCGGTACCTCCGCCGCCAGTGCCTGAAACTGCAAAGTTTAAGTTAGAGCATGCTGTCGGGCAGCATGGGGATCAATCCAAATTTATTAAGTCTAGCAAGAAACAGCGGGCCAGTGCCGCTGTTATGGCAGCAGCGAGGAGCGGATTAGTACCTATTTCGAATCGAAATTCGATGAATTTTTCAGCTAACTCTGCAGATGCTAAACGCAAGCTTGAAGCACAGTTAAGCGACATTAAGTTGGGACCCCAAAAGGAGCAACGTGTGGATTTAGAGGGAATTCCCGTCCCCGATGTATCAGAATTTGCAGATGATGACTTTTGGGGTGACACGAACTTAGTTGCACTTGATTCGGCTGAATGGGATGATCCTGCTCTTCTTGGTGGTATCTTAGGTGTTGGTGTGAGCGGCACCGGTACTGGAGCATCTTATACAGCCACTTCATCTTGTACAACATTTAATGGAGCAGGTGCGTCGATAGCGTCAGGAGCCAGCAGTGTGACGGGGAGTGCGATCGGGCCGCACGCGGATCCACGCCAATTCACGACACCTTTCCAGAAGAGCTCAAAAAAGTCGAAGACCGGAACAGGGCGCGTTAGAAAAACCAGCTTGTCCTCATTTGATTCTGGGCGTGACGTTTGGAGCATGCATGACGACGTCGTCCTCAAAAAATTGTTCGAACTTTACGGGCCCAATTGGACTCTCATCGCGCAGGTGCTCTATTCGACCACTGCGGTCTCTCGTTTTGTCGGTAAGAAGCGTTCACCACGACAATGTTACGACCGCTACAGCAAGATTATATCTGGTAACATTACCAGTGGGGCTTCTGCTGCTTTTACAACGAAAGATGGCAAGTCAGTTTCCTCGCTAAATACCCACCGTGTCGCAAACGTTGCGGCCGCTCAGCTTACTCCAGTAGTACTGGACACGCGCATCGGATTGGCGCACGGTGAATTGCTTTTGAACTTTTCACCACGTCATTCGTTTCCTGGGTTGCCGCCGCCATCTATCGTGAGCGCGCCCAGTTTGGTGGAGGCACACCGTCAAAAGCAAATAACCACAAATGCTGCTGCTGGTAAAACGCTAATCAACAAGGAAGCTGGAGGATTGGACGATCTAAAGTCAATCAAGACCTCATTTGACGCTATAATTCAGTGCATGAAGCACAAGACGTCGCCACCGCCGATCCCAATCCCTGTCGGAGCGAGTTCTACAATATCAGGTTCAACTGCAACGCCAGCCACACCAAGCTCGACAGATTTGGGGACGAAGGCGTCACTCACAGCTGGATCGTTTCCATCGTTGCAAGTTCCAACTCTTGCTTCAGCCTTATCCACTCCAACCAAAGCCAGTGCGAAAGGAATCGAAAAAGCTTCCCTTCCGCCAGCAGCGATCGCAAAGGCGCTGCCTGTTGTGGTGCCGCCGCCACATAAATCGTACACTGACATGGTTTCGCTCCTTCCAGGAGCTGTCCTTGGCCCGGACGAAGTAATTAAGCGCAGCAAGAGGGCGGCATTAGTAGCCGTACAAGCGGCGGCTTCCGTAGCTTCGATCGGGCGTGAAGGCTCTCCGCTTTCTGCAAGTGGTGATGTTATGCTCGGCGCTGGCTCGGGATTTGGCGTATCAGTAAGTAGTTCAATGCCTCGCCGTTCGCACGCAGCATCTCTCACGAGTGAAACGAGCGCTGTCAGTGTGATGTCTATTCCGACAATACCATCTTCGAGAGCTGTTGCCGCTGCTGCAGTATCAGCAGGCGCACGATCGCAGACAACGACAGCGACAAAAGAAACGTGGGGTGGAATCGTTCAAGATGTGAGCGCGAACGGATTAAATGTTAGCGCGGCTGTGGATCCAGAAAGCGGCAGTGGATCGCAGCGGAATGCGCCTATCCCTGTGACCACATCGACGCTATTGCACGTCCTGGACCGCATGCCTGAGATTAAGAACAAGATTCAATCCATCTTAAATCGCTCAGACTGTTCCGAGTCGCAAAAGGTGGCCATGATTGCTCGTTTGTTGAGCAACACGAACGCCATTAACAACACGAACGCGCTTGGAGCAACTGCGACAATGTCCTCGTCAGATGTATCAGTCGATGACAACAGTGCAGTGTTGGTGGCGCTTACCGCCGATCGTGGCATGCTCAGCTCCCCTGATATGCTCATCGACACGGAGACGCCCATCCCGATGCCGGCATCACTGGGCGCGTCGGTGTCTAATGTGGGCACTTCGTCTGCCATGACTCCACAAGGACAGCTTCGTCCACCAGCAAAGTAGTTAGTCCCCCACTTTGTTATTGCGTCGTGTATCTATGTTTACAGCAGCACAGCTCTGCGTCCGTGCGCATGGACACGTGAAGAACAACAAATAGAACTGTTTGACGTGGTATTATTAATACTCATTATAGCTAAATTATCCTGTCGTTGGTAAGCATTATAAGTCTCTAAGTAAGTATGTGGTAATACGACGCTCTGTGCACTCTTAATCTTTGCATAAGCAACCCAGCAGATTCTGTCGGCCGGCCATCACGGCGCGTGAGATCCATCCAACCTGTCTTGCAAATCATGACGTCAGACTCGGGAAAAACGTTATTGGTTATAATTCACTTGAATCGATCTGATTGGCTTTTAAATCGGCGTGCACCACACAATCTATTTGTCCCACCCTCTTTGTATTGTTGCTAACAAAGGTTTCGTGTCACCACCACTTGGGGGGACTTACTGTCCACAGCTTCAGACTTCGATTTTTCAGCTTTGCCGTAAGCGTCGTAGTCTTGTGACTGTTTCGTTTGCAACTGTATTCGTTAATCTAATGGTGGACGGCCCTAAGACCAAGCACAAGATCTCATGGCAGGAGGTGCAGCAGCACTCGACGTACGATAATGCGTGGATCGTCATCCACCACAAAGTTTATGACATTAGTAAATGGGACTCGCATCCAGGCGGTATGGTTATGCTGTCCCAGGCGGGGGAGGACGCCACTGACATTTTCACGGTATGTCATCCAACGAGCTCCTGGAAACTGTTGGAGCAATTCTACATTGGTGACGTGGACGAGAGCACGGTAACGAGCAGCGTGACCCTCACAGATGAGCAGAAAGCCAAGAAGGCCAAGTCAAGTGACTTCATCAACGCCTATCGTCGTCTTCGCATTAAAATTAAGGGTATGGGACTCTACGATGCGAGCATGATGTTCTACGCCTGGAAAATCTTAAGCACCTTTAGTCTTTGGATGGCCTCGGTTGCGATCTGCTATCATTTCGACAGCTGGCCCATGTACATGTTGGCGGCTTGTGTCATGGGCTTGTTCTGGCAGCAGTCGGGATGGCTCGCACATGACATACTGCACCACCAAGTGTGGGAGAACCACATGATTGGAAATGTCATGGGGGTGGTCATTGGAAATGTATGGATGGGCTTTAGCGTCCAGTGGTGGAAGAACAAGCACAATTTTCACCACGCCGTGCCCAATCTAATTGGTAATAATAAGACCAAGTACTTGGGTGACCCGGACATTGATACGATGCCTTTGCTGGCTTGGAGCAAGCATATGGCGTCGAAGGCCTACGAATCGAGCTGGGGACCGTTCTTTGTAAGCCATCAGGCCGTGATCTACTTCCCCCTACTGCTCTTCGCCCGATTTAGTTGGTTGCTGCAGAGCTACTACTACGTGTTTAATGGTTACGCGTTCGGCAAGTACGACCCTGTGGTCCTTCCGAATGGTGAGAAGGTTGGCCTCTCCCTGCACTACATCTGGAACTTGCTGCTACCGGTCTTAACTGGCATGTCAGTTGCTCAAGGTCTGGTGTTTTTCATGGTGGCGCAGATGACGTGTGGCGGCTTCCTGGCAGCGGTCTTTAGTGTTGGCCACAACGGCATGTCGGTGTACGAGCGTGAGGATAAACCTGACTTTTGGAAGCTGCAGGTCACGACTACGCGTAACATCACGCCGGGTTTCTTCATAGACTGGTTCTGCGGCGGCCTAAATTACCAGATCGAGCACCACCTTTTCCCTATGATGCCGCGTCATAACCTGCAGAAGGTGAACCCGCTGGTCAAGTCTCTCTGCCGGGAGTACGACGTGCGTTATCACGAGACGAAATTCTACCGCGGACTCGTTGAGGTTGTGGACGAATTGGCCGAGATCAGCAAAGAGTTTTTGCTTGAGTTTCCCGCCATGTGACCAAAAGAAAAGCAAGAATGACTTAAAAGGGCAAGGAAGGAAGGAGCACATGCATTTAATCGACCTTTTGTAGGTGTACCTGGTAGACTGCTCGATAACGAAAAGTAGTTAATAAAAAACTATTTTTGCTCAGGTATATGTTAGAATACCGGTACAAGTGTTATTAAAATGGACCAAAATACAATAATTTGCGCTGCTTATCAAATACTTTTTGTTTTTCGCTGCCCGCTTCATTCTACCAACGTCCATGGACTTTCAGAACCGCGTGGGCTCCAAGCCCGGGTCCGGCGGCGTGGCCTCCGATTCCCAGAACAATGTTGACCGCCGTGAGCGTCTGCGCAAGCTTGCGCTGGAGACAGTAGACCTGGCTAAGGACCCGTACTTTATGAAGAACCACTTAGGCTCGTACGAGTGCAAATTGTGTCTTACTTTGCACAACAATGAAGGCAACTACTTGGCGCACACCCAGGGCAAGCGCCACCAGACCAACTTGGCTCGTCGAGCAGCGAAAGAGGCGGCGGATGTGGCGCATTCAACAGCTGCCACCAATCTTCAAGCAGCCAGAGCGGCGGCAGCTGCCGCTGCTTCTCGACCGAGAGCGCTTAAGATTGGACTGCCCGGATACAAAGTGACTAAGCAACGGGAACCGGATACAGGGGCTAGAATCTTATTGTTTCAAATTGCATACCCAGAGATAGCCGAAAAATTGCAGCCCCGCCACCGATTCATGTCGGCCTTTGAGCAAAAGGCAGAGACACCGGACAAACGCTGGCAGTATCTTTTGTTCGCGTGCGAGCCGTACGAGACGGTAGCGTTTAAGATTCCGAACGATGATGTGGATAAAAGTGAGGGCAAGTTCTTCAGCAACTGGGACAAGGACGCAAAGACGTTTACGCTGCAATTGACCTTCGCAGCGGGGGACGCGGTCAACAAGAACCAGCCGGCGCCACCCCCACCACGTCCACAACTGCGATATCTATAGGTGGGGAAGGGCAAGCTAAACATGACACTTTTGGCACCTACAGTCATGCTTCATTGATTGGATGTGGTCCTAATGAACAACGCCCATTGACGGAATTGATTAATTACATCCAAGTGAGGCAGACCAGCGGCGATGCAATGTAGCTAGCAATTATGGTGCGACCGGATGAGATGTACTCACTTTTACAAATAAAAAGTGAATAAGAAGCTAGAAGTTTTTGACGTAACGCCTTACAACTTACACAAAATCCTTAAGCAATTAAGGCTGCCATGACCCACCGAAAGGCCAGATTGCAAGACCATACGGAAATGAGTTCAAATTTTGTTTTTTGTAGCATTAATTCGTTCGCGGTCTTTTGGTGCTTCTTCTTTTCGTACTTCTTCTTTTCGTGCACATCTGCGATAATGATGCCCAGACGCACCGTTACACATTGTACCCCACGGGCTTCTTAGATACCTTCGACTGGGACGCCACAAATACTTCCAAGCTCGTAGATTAATAAGGGATAGGTTGCCTGCAAAGGCGCCCATGCAGTCCAACACTAAGCGCACGCGCCGCGATTTATCGCAGCCGTCGCAAAGTGCTTCAGGCTCTGAGGTGAATCTTCCATCTCACGATAATGTGGATGAAGATCCGTCTCTCATTGTAGACTACAATGAGACTACTCCATTGCCATCACCCCAAAGTGGCGATGAGCAAAGCGCATTGATGCGACATATGTCCCCATCATTTAGGGCACCCGTCCTTGAGGGAGCATCTATGCTTCCTACAAGCGAAGGTAAAGCCTCGTCGCTGCGCTCGTAGGCGCAGGCGACGAGGCTTTACCTTCGCTTGTAAGACTGAGCACGCTACTTCGAAAGGAGTAGTCGCGACTCAGTCAGATGTGACTCCTCCGGCTGATGCCTTGACAATCCATAATGGAGAGTCAGACTCAGGTGAGTGTGAGATTAAAGCTCCACCAAGTACACCTTCGGCCTCACTAGCCCGCCGTCGCGAGGGCGGCTACGTGAGTGGTGGCTTACCACCAATGCCACCTCCATCCAATTGAATAACACGAGGGGTTCTAGTGCAGCGCTTTTGCAGCGTACCACTATTGACGCTCATAGATTTTATAGCGTCTTTCCCTTGTGGAAAAAGCAGGGCAAAGCACTTGGTCGTGCTTTCCCAATTCCAGTCGTGCTGCGTTTTAACGAAACAGCCGACGAATATGAAGCTGAACTCTGGCGCCGTGTTACCTTGCATTTAGATGCAGCGAAACAACGGTAGCAGCGAATCAGCTTCGCCATGAAGCTTGCGCATGATATCTTGGGTGGCATGCGACCCCCAATTAATTCTCGCCACGCTTCTTCTGCTAGTCCTTCCGGACCTAGCAGAAAGAAGACAGCTGGTGCTGCTTCACATAAGCAGCCACCAGACCAGGCACGTCGACGTGCAAAGCGTCCACAGGCTCCCATGAGTCAAAGCTCGTTGGGTGACCCTTCCACTGGACACGGTTTTGGAGCTTTCGCTTCACAAACCGGTGGGCCAACATCCTTCCAACAAGGAAGCGCGTATTCCCTTCGTGTCCACCAACACAGGTGGCGCCCGATTGGAGTGGCGATTATGCCCACCTACTCGCGGCTGCCTACCCTGCTGCTGTTCAGTCGCAGGCTGAGTCTGTTGCGCTGAAGAGGCAGGTGACAGATCTCGAGAGTCAAGTCTCGCGACTGACCTCGGATCTGCGTGATGTGAGGGCGAGGGATCGTCAGGGGTATGACCTCCTGAAGACCCGTTTGGACATCTTAAAGCGACTGGTGATGAGAGACCCGCGTCAAGTGCGGAGTCCTCCTCGATCGCCGAGTCCTCTATCGCCTCGTTCGTATACGGGGAGCCTCTCGGCTTCCTCGTCGCCTGATCGGTCGCGACGCTCGACTCACAGTCGACGTCACCATCGGTATCGTTAGACCGATGTGGATATGTGATCTCTTCTGGATTAACATATCGTTTCAGACGACCCACGTAAAATACGGGGTGCGTATTCATATACGGTAAGACAGTGAGCCTATAATTTAGGTATCCAACTTCTTAAACCACTGTAAAGGGCCAATGAATCGGGGCAATAGCTTAGTAGTACCACCATGTAGTACATAAATTGCATTTTTAGGAAGGGTAGCAGTACTTAATAGCACTTTGTCCCTCACGCTAAAGTGTTCATTGTTTTTGCGACCATGCTGGTCTGAATATTGTTTTTACTTATCCTGTGCGCTTGCCATCGCGTCACGGACTTTACGTGTGATAACAAGCCGCTCATCCACAAAGCGCTGAGCTTCGCTCATGCTTTTAGCTACCAGCTCGCCCATGACACTCCAAAGGTCGTTCATGGAAAAATAAAAAAATTGATAAACAAATCGTCGAGGAGCTGTTGTAGTATTGCTCCTCAACTAAGGCAATGTCAATTGCCTTTTTCATCGTCGCTGGCACCTTTCTGAAAAGGGCCTGACGCGATAGGCCGTGCCTAAAAAAGTCCATTCATGAACGTGGCCACCTTGATACGTTCTGGTATAGGTTTTCCATTGATGGACGCCGACAGCGAACGCATCTCCTGCACAAATTCTTGCAGAGAGCGTTTCGCCTGTCGTGCTCCAAAGAAGCGCGCCATAAGTAACACTTCGCTGTTAGGCGGCTGATACATGGCGCGAATCTTTGCCTTAAAGATCGCCCATGATGGGAATGCATCAGCATTAGCCATCAGCGCAGAGTATGCCCACTCTGACGCTTTGCCACGCAAGTTGTACATGGCATACGACACCATTCTGGTGTAGTCTTCGATGAGCTGCGCCACTCCACATTGCTCAACTGCTAATAGCCAGTGAACAATCGTGTGAGGGCTAGTTCCATCGAACTTCGGAGGGTCCATCCGAATGGGCCTCGGTTTAGTAGGCCGGGCAGAGAGCGTCTCAACAGTTCTGTTGAGCGCCTCATTCCTTGCCTGCTCAAGCCTAAGCTCATCCTGAGTATTATTGATGGACTCAGCCGCTGCTTGACTGTTTGCCTCAGAAGCGTTCCACTCTGTCCGAGCACAAACGTCCCAAATTGCTCCAACTGAGCGACATGTTGCTCAGGAGGATAATGCAAGAGGTTGACCAGGGCTTGTTCACCAATTCCCTGCGCCATATGCTCTGCCAACTCCCTGTGATATTGGGAGAGGTGAGGGAAGTCACTCCAGGCCATATGAAGGACCATCTTAATCATACGCACGCTTAACAAGACGGATCTTGGGAAGGACTACTATTGCTACCATGTGTAGACGGGCACTTCTATCGTGCTACTAGCACACACCTTATGCACAAGCGAGGGAGCGGTTAGACCGTCCTATCTTCTTTTTTTGCGTGCGAGGGTGTTAGGAGGTTATTCGACTGCTTAAGCAGTCGTACCACCAGTTGCCTCTCGCTTAAGCGAGAGTGCAACGAGCTTCTAAGACAAGAAGGCACCGACGTCACGCAGAAGCTTTTAGAGCTTCACGTGCGCGGTGCTTTCGATTTAGCAAATTTAAGACTGAGCTATATTTAATGAATTATAACTAAATATATACTTAACTACGGATTGGCTATATATGTATATATATATAGATCGGATACGCGACTCTTTAGAAGCGTATCCTGTCGCATGAACTTAAATCTAGATTCAAGATAGCAACTGACGTCTTTTGGAGACGTAGCGATTCCTAGCTCTAACTAGTGTCATCCCTTCCCATGTATATTCATAAATGGATATCACATTCACGAGGGTGGATCACGTTTGTGTATCGCACCCAAGTGACAGGTCAAAAGTAATCATGGATACTTTTAGACCAAACATTAAGTATATTAATTAACGTTTGCGTGCAACTAGATGCCCTGTTACAATGGCGCAGGCGCCATAGCAGACGCTGCCACGGCATTCTGTACCGCCTCAGGCGCATCGACCAGTTCCACATCAGCAAATGCATCCACCGGGCCCACACCTGGCCCGAGTACCGGACTCACGCCAGCGTAAGATAGGAACTCGGCCGTTTGAAGGCAAAAATATCTATTAAGGATGGGGAGTGGTTTTTTGTCCTGAAGAAAGCATTGTATGCGAAAAATACAGTTTGCTGAGAGGGAAAGCGATATTCCGTCGGCCGAGGACGTCAAAGTCGACATTTGTTGAGGACACCACCTGAGCGGTATGGCAGAAAGGTACTACAATCGGCAGGTAGATGGTTGGTGGGAAGAGCAGCCGACTCTGGAGAACGCTATGCAGCAGTGACTGTAACGGGGACTAGAGCGTAACGTCACTAGCACTTACGTGCGTTTGAGGAAGACTTAAGCCCAATTATTAAGTATAAAGTAATTTTACCTCATATTTTTATTTTTGTTTCTAATTCGTAAGTAATTTTATTCTTCTTTTTATATTTGTTTTATAATTCGTGCGAAGATTATTGTGTTGTAGCAAATACGACAGTATTCCCGCCTTTCGGGAACCACACATTTACAGGATTATTTATCATTGGTCCATATTGGGTCTTTAGGCTCCAATAAATACCCAATAATAATTTGTTACGCTGTGCCTGCTATTCAAGCACAGCACCTGCATACATATACAATTGTTCATTTATGTCAATTTTATGTATGTAATGTGGCCCATTTCATCACCCCCTCCTCAAGACAGCACTTACCAACCGTGAGTGCTCAACTGTCGAAATTCAAACTTTAAAAACGAAAAAGCGATGTCCGACCACGCGACATCCAACACTGCACCATCAGCGGGATTGCAACTATTAGCTTAATGGCGCGACAACTCATACCTTGAACACTGTATACTTGTCCTAAGCTCGCGCTCCAGACTCACTGAAAATGATGCAGGACTACTTTCGGCATTTTCGAAAGCTGCGTGGAAAGAGTCTTGATGAGTTCGGATACGAGGCCCTGCAATGTTCTTGGTGCGCCTTCATCCAACGTTGGAATGGGATGATCTAGGATGTAAGCAGCTTCCAACTGTGG